AATTGGTACGATTATTTCTATGCGTCATGTAGAGTATGGCCATGGTTAGCCTATTATCTCTGTGTTTAATCTTGAACCCGTTTGCTGCTAGGTGCTATCCTAGTTTCTATGAGTCATTAAGCATTCTTTCTTCGATACTGAGCTTGTAGCGTTCATTACGGAGCTCGCCGTGACAATGCTTTCGCTTGTGCTTTAAATAAACTTTCAGAAGTGACAGCCAGAAGCGGGGTTGGAAGAAGTGGTATTGTATGAATTAGGATATTTCGCTGCTCCAAAGTGTCTCTCTGCCAGGCTTCTGTTCAATGGCAAAATCCAATCTCAAGGACAAAAGGTTAAGGTAAAGGCTGATCGCATCCGTCCTCAATTATTCAACTCCTCAATTACAACGTCTGAAAGGGACGGAAATTCTCAGGTTATATCCTACTAGCTCCAATGATTTTGTCGGATTCATATTACACGTTACAAACAATTCCCTTCGCCCCGCTGCCGTTTAAGTCTCAATATACTTGGTCCATTACCAATTGATTCGTTGCAGGTGCAGTAGTATATCCATCGATGAGTGAAACGGGCTTGCTTGGCCGTTCTCTTATCAAGGGCTACTAATTGCACAACTTGTGGATGAAGCTCTTAATCTTTTATGAGGCTTCACTGGTATTATATGCTCCAGGCACTTATTCCTTTTTCGAATCCTGCCTAGTTTCATCGCCAGTCCAGATATAGTCATGGGTTTCCAGTATTTTGCGTACCCGACTTGAATAGACTTCCACTTCATGTTTTTCCGCCTCAAATCAACAATATATCTTTCGTCGGGCGGCAGGAAGCTCAGGTCAATGGTCCCCGTGCCAAAACCAGTGCCTTCGAGTAGATATGGTAAGCTGGATTGTTGTTGTAAGGTATCCTGGGTGGACGCAAATGGAGTTGTTTCCCAAACCGTCTGGTGAGGAAGAAAATAGCTGCTGGGATACTCTTGGGGGTCGGGAAACCAGTAATTGGCATCCCAAGGGTTCCAAGGGTTCCAGAAGGGCCAGTAGTATAGGTGGGGATCCGGTACTGAACTATGATTTGGATATGCAGGGAAAGGATGGTCAACGGAGGGCGTAGAAAGATCCGACCTCGGCCAGAACGCTGTGCATGTGAAGTCCTGAGATACAGATGCTGGATCGTTGGCGACAGAGTCCAAATAGGATGGTGGGAGTAGGCTTGATGCTGGAGTCTGAAGAGTGTTGGAGTGTGGATACATAGACTGCGAATACTGCCCCGACGAGTCATAAGCCATTTCAAAAGGAACTGAAAGTGAGCCACGATATGTCAATGCTTTGAAAAGAAATCTGAAATTTCTTTAACAGTTCATTGATTGGGTTTTGAAATTTCTGTTTACACATCCTTTGCGGTCCTTGGATGTATGTTATATCCTCTCCCTGGCCAAGTGCCCACCAACAAGTTGTTTGGTTTGAATCCTTGAGTAGCCTCATGGCTATGCTCACCATCAAGCATCAACATGTTCCACTACCCAGAGACCTTCCGTATTTTGGAGCATTCCGGGCCCTTGCCTACCGCAGCACTTCACAGATACTAGTCTTATCAGGAAGAGCGATCCACTTAAATAAGTTCAGATTTCACAGAGCTTCGACGATCCAACAGGCTGGCCATATTGAAGCAAACGTTCTAGTACGAGGCGGCAGGATAGGAACCTACAACCCCATGATACCCTTCGGTCCTAATAGTGCTAGACCAGGAACACTGATTCTAACTTTAAAAAGGATATTGACTCATGATACACCAC